AACTATCAGACAACAGCAAGTTATCCTGAACTTCACTGGTACAAACATCATTCTGACCTTCAGGCACCTCAGTTTATACTCTTGAAACGAGCAAAAGGGAGCACAGCTGAACATATTCCTGATAAACGATATGGATCTGAAACATCAGCAACATCAACTACACTGACCATCAGAGATCTAACCCTGGCAGACACAGCTCTCTACTACTGTGCTCTAGAAACACAGTGATACAAAGTGTAGAAGAGGCTGTACAAAAACCTGAACCCAGATATCTGACTACTCTTCAAAGAGGAGGGAAGTGGTATTCAAACCACAGCTTCATATCAGATGGATTCTGCTAATTCCTGTTTTATCAGAGTCACTGTGGTTCTAGCTGCTAATGAAACACTGGGGGAGGATTCACAGGAGCAGCAAATCCACATCAATTTACAGAAAACATTTGGGGCCAATCAGATTCCTCCCAGATGGTTCCACCTGATGGATAAGTATCTCCCTTTACTTCTCAGCATTGAAACTATTCATTCTGACCAAATCCCCAACCCTGTGTGTAGAAATGTAGTCCCAAAGTTGCAAAGAACCTCCACCAAGCTTCACTGTTGTCTTTTTCTTTGACCTTTAATTATTCAGAGAGCTTCACTGAGAGAAACCTCTCATTTGCAGGAAGGCCCTGATCACATTCACACCTGAAAGCTGCCCAGTACTGGTCTGCTGGCTACTTGGGGGTTATGGGCTTTACTCAAGGGCACCTCCCGGTCACAAGTTTGCTTCTGTAACCTGTGGCCCTCCGCTGCCTCTGTCTGCAGACACTCATTCTTGTTCCGCTCTCCTGCCCTCTGCTGTGATTCTGTTTCAACTGGTGATCATTAGCAACGTTTGGTATAATTGTTTAATCATACACCTGACAATGTGCCTACAAAATCCCTGACTGCCTTGAAGAGCTGATTTTTAAGGCAAAGGGTGGTCACACCAAATTCCCCATCTCCTGTTCACTCACTTTGCATTTTGTTATATTAAATTAAAGATTAATATAATCTGTTAACATATGAAGTTTTGGAAGCATTCTGCCGTTACAGCATTTTCCACACCTACCTAAAACGTTTGCACAGTACTGTGTGTGCTGGGTCCATGTCCCTCATGTGTGTGCATGAGTATGTGGAACTTAATGGGGAGGACCAGGTGAGATCAGCGTTCACAAGCCCGCTGACCTGAAAACAGAAAGAACAGGACACAAGCCTGGGGGGGTCCTGTGCTCAGGAGAGGGGTTTGGGAGGTGAACAGCAGTCTCATGTCGCCCCCCTTCTGGCTGTCAGGTCTGCTCTAATGAAGTACCGCTGGTGGGAAATGACTTTGTGAGTGCATGTGAGAGACACAATAACACTCCCCATAGACTAAACTCCCTGGGTATGAATTACAGCCCTAAATACATGGCCAACAATAATTAAGGAACCTTGCAGACAATATCAGAGATCTTACTCACAAATGTAGTATAGGAACATCTGGAGAATATTTCTGACCAAGTGGTCGGAGGATAAAATCATTTTAGGATGAGTTATCATTTGAATATTAATTATAGACCCTCCATGAGGCTTTGAGAGCATATTTAACCAGATTCCTTCTTTACTGATGATTGTGCAAAAGAAGGAAAACCAACCCAAAGAAACCCAGCAGAGGAACAGAGGTTTATCTCTCTGGGCTTTAAAGGCTAAAATATATGTGGGTCTGGTGTTGGTGTTGGTAACATACAGTGACATGAGAGGAGGAATAGGTTGAGGGAGGAGCAACACTGTCAGAGAAGAGCAGCACAGAAAAGGACTCCTACTGTCAGATGCATTCGATATGTAAACCAGACAGAACACAGATACTGTCTGGAAGATGGAGTCACTGCATTACTGTGTGATTGTTCCTTTGTTTCTGACCATACTAAAAGGTAGGTTAAAGCAGGAAGAAGAAAAACCTTCAAGGGATCTGTTTCCTAGAAACCACTGGAACAGGCAGGCAGAGTTTGATACCGTCATTAACAACATTTATCTCTTCCTTCAGGTGCCGTTTACTGAACAGCAGCGCCACCAAGTGGACACTGACAACACAATCTAATGACAAGTTACTATATTACTCCTGTCAGCATTAAAACAGAAGGAAGTCCTTGTTTTACAAACACTGAAAAGATAAATACAAATTCCAGACTGATGATGATGATTTCATAATTCTACCAGGGTGAAAAGTGGTTAAAGAGACTTTGTTGTAACAGAAAGTTCACATGTTAAAGCTCCTCATTATGAGCTGCTCTGGATAAGAGCATCAGCTAAACAGCTGAGATGTAAATGAGATGTAAATGTTGAGAGTTCCTCAACAGATGATGAAGAGGAAGGGCCAATGATGTGAAGGCCCAGATCCATCAGAGTATCAATGTTCTTCCTCTCTCTCCTCCCCTCTCACTGCAGACATGAACCACTGGCTGAGAAACATCCTGATTCTGACTCTCTGGCTAGGTAACTCTTTAAACCTACTGATTGTTCTCCTTTAATCAATCATCTTTATTGATCCATCTCTTCCTCTGCATGTTCTCTTCTTCCCCAGAGTGTAAAGGAGAAGACAGAGTGACCCAGCCAGCAGGAGATGTCATTGCTGCTGAAGGAGACACAGTTACACTTGGCTGTACTTTTGAGACGAGTTACTCAGGTCCAGCTTTGTTCTGGTACAAACAGGATGGAGACAACAGCCCCAAATTCATACTGAGCCGCGTTCAACAGGATGATGGGAAAACAGAGGAAGAGTTTAAAGAAGATTTTCATCCACACTGGATTCCACCTCAAGATCAGTTCCTCTGAAGATCCAGAAGCTTCAGCTGTCTGACTCTGCTGTGTACTACTGTGCTCTGCAGCCCACAGTGACAGGAAACACCAAAACTCTGTACAAAAACCTTTGGAGCAAAGACAACAGAATACTCCACAACGTCCACTAGAGGGAGTCACACACTGTTAAACTTCAGTGTGTTGATACAGTCAGGAGTCTGCTAATAAAAAAATGAGTTACTGAAGATCTTAACATGATTTCTTTGTCTTCTGAAGAATAAAGACATCATCAACCATCAAACTTTCTGTAAACACTAAATACGCTGCATGTACAGAACGCTCTTTATACCAAGGCCTTTCATAGTGATTCTCTCCATCAGACAAACAGACACACTCTCTCTCACTGATGGTGGTGGAGCTGCAGCAGATTCAGAGTCTTGTTCAAGGACACTTCAGCATGTGGACAGGAGGAGCTGGGGACTGAACCACCAACCCTTTGACTTCCTCCACTTCCTGCGCCACGGCTGCCCCGAACTCACTGCCCACCTCCAGATCTCAGCATCCAGATGTGGGTTTTGTTAGTCTGAAGGAATATTCCAGTGAAAATGTCTCGTTTCACTATCAAATCCTCTCCACCTGTAAGCTTGAAAGGTGACTCAACAGTTTGTAGCATCACTTTGTTAATTGCTGCTGTAAATCCACAACTTCAGAGATGTGGGGAGGTGATAACGCAGCACAGAAGTAGAGTCTTTAACTATGTTGAGTTTGGAAAATGCTGAACAAACAGATCATCAGCTGACAACTGGATTATGCTGCTGGACTAGTTTCAAGTTACATTTACCAGGTCACAGTGGGTCCAGTACTTTATAATTCAAGTGTTCAGTCAGACAGTGAAGATGTGTCAAATGTTTGAGAATTCACTAAAAGCAACTATCATGTAAAGAATACAGCTCAATATCTTTTCATCTCTTTCACGCTCAGCTCTCTCTTCACCACGAAGGTCTAGTACAACATCTGCAAGACTTCTGACGCCGCATCAATCTGCCTGTTGATCTCACGCTCCATTTTACCCTCACTGGTGAACAAGACCCTGAGATATATGAACGCCCTCACTTGGAGCAACAACTCACTTCCAAACCCACAAGGGAAGGGACTCTCATCCTGACCGTTTCACACTCAACTAGAACCTGTCCCAGTGCATGTTGGAGGTCACAGTCTGATCAAACCAACAGAACCACATCATCTGCAAATAACAGAGAAGAAATTCTCCGTCCCCCAAACCGAACACTCTCCTCCCCCGGCTGCACCTTCAGATCTTGTTAATGAAAATCACAAACATAATGTGCGACAAGGGACAACCCTGGCCTTCCCAACACCCACCTGCTGAGAAAACGGACACAGCTCTCACTCTGGTTTTGTAAGGACCGGATGGCTCGTAGCAACAGCCATGGTACCATGTATGTGTTTTTATGATGTGTTAAATTGAAACAAAGACAAAGTTATGTAAAGTCACCTGTTGATAATGTAACACTGATAACAGAAATGTTATAAATTAATACAGGATGTTATATTATGTGTTATATAATATATGTTATATATTTGAGCGTCACATTTCAAGCAAAATGACTCGTTTCACTATCAGAATCCAATCTATAACAGCCAAACGTATATAATTTTACCCCCAATCAACTTAGCGGAGGGCTAAACCCGAAGTTAGCTTCCCCGTCCGGCAAAACTCAACACAGTGGATGCTAAAGCGCTACCGCCAACTAGAGCAGAGAAATATAGCAGAGAAAGACTGTCAGACTGACAGATAAGAGATGAATCAATCCAGAGCCACATCACTGAGACCAGCAGGGTTCTTCAGACGGATCATTAAGACATTGTGGTTCACTGAGTCAAAGTCTGAGCTGGAGAACAGGCCTGTGACAGCAGCAAGCAGTAAGTCATGGTGACCCTGACCAGGAGTCTCAGTGCTGTGTACGCAGCAAAAACCAGATAGAACATTTAACAATTTGGTTGTCGTTTATAAAAGAAATCAGTTCAGTGGAGGCAGTCTGTATAAAATAGCAGCTTAGAGGTGGGTTTAAAATTATTTATAACAAAAGGATCCAGAGAGAGCTACTTTAAGGGGGGCTAAGCAGTGGCATGTTTAAAACTGGGGGGGCAAATTCCAGTAGACAGAGAGAAGATAATAATGGCTCAAATATTGTGAAGGGCAGGATGCAGTCAGAGCTTTTTGATGTTTCAGCAAGAGGAGGAGCTCCACAACTGAATATGAAAGGCTTCATGTTGGAAGTGAAGAGCTGCTGTGTTCTCTCTATTGTTCATTCAGTACAAGTGGAAATGATGCAGCTCTGCTTAGTTTGGATGATCATCTTCATGTTTCACACTGGTAAGAAATCAAAAGATGTAGCAAGATGTAAAAAGAAATGTAGACATTAAAATATCTTTTGAATGTATTAAAACTTTATGCTAAAATAGGTGCAAAGATATTTAATAAAATATAAATGTCAGAGTGAAATCTATCTTTGTCTTTTCAGGATCCTCTGAGGATTTAGTGAAACCATTTAAAGATGTAATGCTGGCTTTGGAAGGAGACTCTGTGACTCTCTCCTGCAACTATTCAGGCTCCGTCCTCTACCTCTACTGGTATCAACAGAAGTCCAGTTCATCTCCACAGTTTCTCATTGCAGATTTTTCAGAGAATATAGCACGGTGGACCTTTAAACATAACAAAACAGCAAAGGAGTTTCATCTGCAGATCTCCTCTGCTGCAGTGACAGACTCTGCTGTGTACTACTGTGCTGTGAAGCCCACAGTGACAGGAAACACCAAAACTCTGTACAATAACCTTTGGAGCAAAGACAACAGAATACTCCACAACGTCCACTAGAGGGAGTCACACACTGTTAAACTTTCAGAGAGAATCACACAACAAATACTCAAACTTCTAAAAGCTGAGAGACAAACACCAAGGACGTCCTCTCTCTCCACTGCTGTTTTATTCCTAAAATATAAACTGGCTCATCCAACCTGACATTTTGGCTCTGAGGACAAACAAGAAATGACTAATTAATCACTTTTATTCACTCATAGCATATTTCTCTGTGTATTTACTGTGTTGCTGAATGATGTTCAAAATGTGACAGAACAGTTTTTAACTAATTTCTCATCAAATGCTCCGTATTTGTATAGCACCTTTCTAGTTTAGTCTTTTCAACCACTCAAAGCACTTTTACTCTACATCTGCATTCACCATTCACACACTGAGCCTAAGTGCTCAAACAGAAACTAACATTCACACATTCATACACTGGCGGAACTGCCGCTAGGAGCAATTTGGGATTCAGTATCTTGCCCAACGACACTTCGACATGCAGCCTGGAGGAGCCGGGGATTGAACCGCCGACCTTCCGATTAACGGGCAACCGTCGTAGTGTTGTGTCGTTCAAAGAACGTTTCGTTCATAAGACCTAATCGTGTATATGAGTCTTCTGAAATAAAGAATTCAATCCAGACGTCTTTTAAATGTTTTATTCTTTGCAAAGGGTCACACAGACAGACAGAGTGCAACCAGTCTGCAGAGTGTAAGACAAAGAGCCAGTGTAGAAGCAGGTGACTTTATACTGTAAGGGTATTGCGCAGCTATCCAAGGGAGGAAGGGAGTAGGGACCAGCTGTCCTGAGATGAAGGCCTATCAAGGACAGTCTGATAAGAAAACTCTCTAACGAGCATCTTTCCCATGGGAAACTTCACCTAGCTGTAACATAATCAAATAATCAAATACCACACAGTGAAACCTTTGTATAAAATAATGAAGCACGCAGGGTGAAACAGTAAACACAGTAAAATATCAAATTTCCATCACACTCGGGAGAAACGAGTTGTCTCAGTGAATGATTCGTTCATTTTCATGAATGCGTGAATAGTCTTGGACTGTTACGTTCACTCGTCACACGGCAGCTGCATGGGCTCCGTCAGCACAGGAAACAGAATTGATTAGTTCAGGACTCTCAACTGTGGGTCTGTTTGAGTCGTTCATTCGTCACATGACAGCTCCTACTGTGGAGCAGGAATGAACGACTCGTTCAGCGCTCACATGGGTCCTCCTCAGTCTTTTGTTCACTCGGCAGGCTGAGTGACTGCCGGCGCCGGAGAATGAGAGGCAGGTCGGCTGTCAGGTAACAGTCACTGGACTGACATTATATAGCTATTTTGTTAATTATGTGACATTTAATAAAGCATAACATTATTACAGCGCAGTGATGTTGTGCTAAGTTATAGTTTTAACACAGCCGCACCGTAACTTTAGTCCTGCTGGTGTTTCCAGCCAACAGCTGATGAGAGTTGTTCTGGGTCCACTTCAGAGCCCTGACAGGGTTCTACCTGGAGCCGAATTACCTCAGAGGTCGTCTCCTCTCCAAAACAAACAGACCCGGTCATTATAACATTAAAACACATAGCAACGTTAGCGTTAGCTCTGTAAACAGCTAACAGCTGATCCAGGTCCGCCAGAGAACGCAACGTAACTTTTACTTTTTATTTACCGACAGAGCCGTGCTGTTGTTTCACAGCTCCTGACTGGTGAACAAGCTGCAGTGTTTGAGAGCGATGTGCTCATGTGTGTTTCTCCGTCTGCAGAATCCGGACCTGATTCTGCGTCCAGACCTGCCAAACTGCTGCGTTTACATGTGTTTATTTCTCTGTTCCTCTCTCTGTGCTGGAGTTCTTTAAGAACTTGGTGGCTTGATATAATAAAGCTAGCCAGGCAGCCTTCCGTGTTAGAGAACGGCGCTGTTTTTTAATCGCCCACTAGAGGGCTGCAGCGCCGCAATAACAGCCTAGTTCAAATGAACGAAATGACTCAAAAAAAGATTATTTCATTTTAATGAACAAGATTTGAATGAACGAGTCTGTCAAAAGACTCGAACTTGCCATCACTACCTGAGACCAGGACTGGTCATCAGTTACCAACATCTGTCACAAACAGTCCAAGCATGGAGACAGGAACAGAAGAGATGAACCAATCCAGAGCCACATCACTGAGGCCAGCAGAGTTCTTCAGATGGATGATTTAGACCGGAGGTCACTAATAGGTGGACCGCGATCTGGATCAGGACATACGGCCCATCTGTTATTGAGAATTACTACCTCGTGACGGAGTGCGAGTCGAACTCGCGAGTGAGATGCAGAGATGAAGAGATGAGACGAAAGAGAAAAGAGACTTCACACGGCTTTTAACCAAGAATGTACAGATTCTCACATGTACATTCTTCCTACGGGCAGTTCAAAACCAGAATGTATCTCCAGTCCAGGCCACAGCTCACGTTTCTCACTGAACAAGAGAAAGTAGGGAAGTGGTAGCTTTATAAGAGGGAATGAAAGAGGAGAGGAGGTATTAAAGAGGGGGTATTCTCCTGGTATGCTCCTCTTTTCAGCCTGTGTTGAAGGCTTCGTTTTAGCTATGGAGTGATGCATCTTGTCTCTAAATGATCTTTGTTGGGAGTTGCACATGCTCAGTTCCTAGTTAAGGACCACTAGCCAATCAGAAGCAGAGAAGGGCGGGTCGGCGAGAAGCCGGTAAACAGCTGTACGTGTTGCCGACCAGAGGAGAGCTGTGTGCTGCAGCTCGCTGTTTCTGAGGGCGTGTCAGAGTAGCCGCGTGGCGAGCGTTATATGAGGCGCGTTTAGCTTTCGAAAGGGAAGCGGCTGGACTACAAACGAGCGGTTTTCAGTTCAGAGCAGAGTTTTCTGTGGGAGATGGGAACTCCCTTTGGGCTGGACTTTTTCACTTTGCAAACCTGTTACATGCACAGCAAAGGTTTATAACTCAATAAAGCAGAAGGGAAAAGCCAAAAATCAGAATACCACCTCTTTAAAGCTGTTCATTTGTTAAGATGTGTTGAGTGTTAATTCTAAATTTGGTTGAGACTACACTTCAATCACTCAAAGCTACACTTTATTTTATTTTTTTCTGAAATTGAGCAACAAATAAACTTAATTTATTTTAAGATGCAAATTTACAAAAACGTTTTTTAAATGCAGCCTTTACTTTACTTAAATTTAGAATTTATTATTAGAGGAGTTATTTTTTATTATCCCTTCAGTTTTATGTGAAAACTAAATATGTTGAAACAGTATCTGATTTACAGTCAGTTGTTGACTAAAAACATGTTGATACAACTAGGCTATACGTTGTGGTAGCTACTGAATGATAAGGCAAGTTGATGTTCCGGACCTTTGCTTCGTGACATTTTCTCTAACTGGACCTCGTTGGATTTTAATTGAATACCTCTGATTTAGATTCTGTGGTTCACTGAGTCGAAGGCTGAGCTGGAGAACAGGCCTGTGACAGCAGGAAGCAGTAGGTTATTGCTGACCATGACCAGGAGTCTCAGTGCTGTGTTTTTTTGACAATTTGGTTGTCGTTTATAAAAGAAATCAGTTGAGTGGAGACAATATTTCCTAAGATCTTATGTTAAAAATGGCAGCTTAGAGATAGGTTTAAATTTATTTATAACAAAAGGATCAATGGCTCAAATATTCTGAAGGGCAGTTTGCTGTTTCAGCCAGGTGTTTGTGTCCAGATTCCTTCAGGTGAATTTCCTGCAGATTCCTCCTTCAGTCTGACCTTCTTGGATGATGATGACTGCAGCATCACTGTCATTTCTAAAGCTTCCATCAGCCTGAATGGAAACAGAGCACAGCAAGAGGAGGAGCTCCACAACTGAATATGAAAGGCTTCATGTTGGAAGTGAAGAGCTGCTGTGTTCTCTCTATTGTTCATTCAGTACAAGTGGAAATGATGCAGCTCTGCTTAGTTTGGATGATCATCTTCATGTTTCACACTGGTGAGTGAAATTTAACAGGAGATTTTAAACATGACTCAGAAAACATTTCAGTTTGGCAAATACTCATTTGTTTCTCTCTCACTTTAAAGAAATATAAATGTCAGAGTGAAATCTATCTTTGTCTTTTTCAGGATCCTCTGAGGATTTAGTGAAACCATTTAAAGATGTAATGCTGGCTTTGGAAGGAGACTCTGTGACTCTCTCCTGCAACTATTCAGGCTCTGTACAAAACCTCTACTGGTATCAACAGAAGTCCAGTTCATCTCCACAGTTTTTCCTCGCAGATTATTCAAAGAAACCAGGTTTTTCTTTTAAACATGACAAAACAGCAAAGGAGTTTCATCTGCAGATCTCCTCTGCTGCAGTGACAGACTCTGCTGTGTACTACTGTGCTCTGCAGCCCACAGTGACAGGAAACACCAAAACTCTGTACAAAAACCTTTGGAGCAAAGACAACAGAATACTCCACAACGTCCACTAGAGGGAGTCACACACTGTTAAACTTCAGTGTGATGATGAAGTCTTAAATTACTTATATTCTACATGAATCAATGAAATATTTGTAATATCTTATAGGTATAAAACATTTCAACAACACTTAGCAGGAAGCCTTTCATTAGGAGGGGATGTCTCTGAATGATCTTCCTCGAGGGTTTTTCAATCATGATTTTTAAACCTATAGGCAAAGGGAACATACAGAGATAATATCTTTGTGTCACAGTAAGTTCAATTGGGCAAAGAGGAACACGAGGGAGTGGACCAGACCCAGAACCAGAGGCAGGTTCAGTTTTATGGTTTTCAAAATAAAAGAGTACACTGACTTACAGCAAGCTGAGGCAGGCCAAGGTCCACACAGGCAGACACATAGCAAACACATCCAAAGGAAGCAGCAATAAACCAAATCTAAACGGTCTAATACATCAGGCCAAAATCCAAAACACAGGAAAACACTGGGAAATGGCTAGAAAGCTTGACATATAGACAAAGACAAGGCAGGCGCACAGACTAAACACACAAGTGAGGGGAGATTAAGTAGACACAGGTGACACTAATTAGGACAGGGCAGCCAATCAAACGGGCGGGAAAACACGAGGGCAGGAAATAAAGTAAGACAAGACACAGGAGATACAACATAAAATAGAAAATAACAACATCAAAACCCAAAACCATGACACCATGTCAATAATATGGAGTCTTCAAACACATTGTGATTGGTTTATGGAATAGACGATAACTGACTGATGAACATCCGGCTGTGAGCTCTATTTTCTTTAAGTTAATCACAAGTGCTTTCACTTTGGCTGATTTGCAGAGAATTTAGAGCACCAGTATATATAAATATGTCTCGGTAACACTTTATTT